GCTTAAATGTTTATATTGTTGTTGATATTTTACTCTAGATTAGTAGCCAACCAGTTAGCTATCTTGATATTTTCGTTAGCTTGATTTGATCAAAAGTTAACCAACTTCTCATAGACTTTTAATATCTATACGGAATAATTTATTTTAATTAATTAGAATAGCTCTCAAAGCAATTATGCTCTGATAACACTTTCTCAAGTGCTTCGCTTCTATCTTTTTCTTGGGTTCTTTTGTATTCTTGGTATTGACTCATCCTTTTAAAAAAAAAATTTTATACGCATAATGTTGACAAGAAAACCTTTTTTTTTGAAAATCATATAAATGATAATAATTTATTCTTTAAAGCAAAGTCAGTAGGAAATCTGGTTTGTTTCTTTGGTACCCTTGTTCTCACATCATCAATAATTCAAAAGTAATTCAATTGTGTGCTATCACGCAAAAATTTATCAACTCAAATACCAACTTTTCCCTTTTCTTGTAAATTTACTCACAAAATTTCTCGTGTAATCCCAACCTCTCCTCTTTTTTCAATTATTTCATTTGTACATTCACGAAATTCACAAAATCATTCTTGAACTTTAAAAACTTCTCAAATAGCTGTTTTACTATGAGTCACGTTTATTTCTCTAAAGTTCTTTTGGCAGACTTTATTTATTTTTTTATTCAATTAATTGTTTGAAATAAAAAAAAACCTGAGAATTAGTCACATATTAAAGAAAATATGCATTAATCTTGAAGACATAATTCGAATGTGCAGCAGTGAAGTAACATTAATAATAGATATAATTTAACATTAGCAAGTATTCTATGTTTAGAACAACAATACTAATAATTATTATAATTAATAACAACAATAATTAATTATCTATGGTATGTTTAATGGAAGGAAAAATCAAGATGATAAATTTTTTTTTTATCAAACTTGATGATACCTTCTCACAACGGATGCACGGAACACATAAGAGAATTTTATGCCAAAATTATTACTATATACACACAAATTGATCATTGTTTATTTTAAAATTATTTAACAAAAAAAAAAAGTGACAAAAGAATTTAAATCATCCTATTAAGGATAGGCGCACATCTTCTTAAAATCGCACCCAATCTGATCACTAAAAAGTTCTTTAAACTTGTTCCAGTCACAATACTCATTTCCACAACCCGGAATCACAAACGGTTTAAAGTTAAATACTGCTCGTATCTTTACATTATCCTTATTATTATGATCACCTGAACAAGAATATACTTCCCAATAAAGTGTAGAAGTCCAGGGTATACTTGCATATTCTGTATACCTGACTTTTTTAATTTGTTCAAAGGTTAAATCTGCCGTGAGTGGGTATTTTTCTTTAAATACTCCCTGTGATCAAAAGACAATATAGATGTTATCATCAAAGAACAGAAGATGAAATAAAAATGAAAATTTTCACATACCAGTAAAGTAAATATTGTAAGTAAAGTAAATCCATGAGAATTCTTCAAATCAGCTATCATAAGAGACTTCCCACTTATATAATCATCAACTTCATTTACAAGTTGAGTAATATAGCGACAGGCCATCCGCCTATTAAAAGGATGTCCATATTGTAATATATAATATCCATAAATATCCCAATAATATCGTAATAATAGAAGTTCTTTATGGCTTAGTAATGAACACCATGTGTCAGTTCGATTAAAATGAACAATCCAATACTGGCAATTAGTAAACATATATGGTAATAAATGTGGATCAAGAGGTGGACTAAGACCATGTTCGTTAGAAATACGGTTTGCAATTGGTGCTAGAGTCTTGTTGCCATATGTATAAAGTTGTTCGTTGAGTAATGGATTGTTCTTAGAAACGGTCTCATTCCACCGTCGGCAGGACTTGAATGGTGCTAAAACCTCATCTTGCACCTATACAATATAATATTAATACATTAATATGTGCGCTAACAAAATGATTTATAAATGGCGTAGTAAAATTTTTATACCTCTGGTACTGACGAAATGTATACAGGTTGACTTTTACAAGTGTCTAAAGAGCCTTTTCCATTAAATAATCCTTCGGAAAAGGCCATTGCCGATGCACCAGCTCTTTAAACAATATTGTATTTTATATACGTGTGTGTGTTTTTTATTAAAATAAAAAAAAAGTAGGAGTTTTAAATATGAAATTGCACCTTGAAGTACCGGTACTTTGAAATTTTACAACTTCGGGATCGTATTTAACTCCTCTCCAAAATTCTGGGTATCTTTTAAGAGACTGCTTACCATCAAAGAATGGTTCGATTTCTCCTTGTCTGTTCAATTGAAAATTTTTACTCATCGGGAAAACATTTTTATACTATATATATAAAAAGAAAGATGTTTTTTCAGTTATGATAAATTTTACTGAATATGACAAATAATGTTTATTACCCATTCTTTTGCAATAGGAACATTAGCAAATATTTTTTCCAATTTTTCATAAGCATTAATATCATCTGGGGTTGGATGTCTCGCTCCTAATAATTGTTTTAAAAAGATTATTTGATGCGGTCAAATTTGTACATGTTTGTACACGAAATAATATTTACCGTGTCTAGTGCTCAAATGTAACTGTATTAATTTACATTTATCAGGATAATTTATGGGTTTAACATGACGAGAAAAAGCAGTCCGTGCTGGTTCAAGGTAAAATAAATGGCTGTTTATAAGTTGTTCTGGAGAATGCTTGTACACGTGATGGCATTGTGTTGGATTATATGAAACAAATAAAACAAAGATAAAAATTGAATATAAAATGTGGTGTGAAAACTTCATCTTCTTTAGAATTGCAAGTTGCATTCGTTTCAAGAAAATAAAATACCTTTTTTTATATATATTACGCGAGGTCGATTATATAAGTCTAATGTATAAAAATAAATCCGTAAGTTACTAGTTTTTTTTTGCTGGCTGAATCAAATTTCTATTTGTAATTTCTTAATAAGTTCTGCTGAATGAAATTTCTATTTGTAATTTCTTGATAAGTATAAATGATTTAACGGAGATGATAATAAGATGTTGTTGGTACAGTCAAAAACTTTGTTAAATGTACAGTCAATAAATTGATCGCCTAATAGAATGATACTAATATGTGCTAATACATTATAATCATATGTGAAATTTCGCTTTGTGGAACTCTCAAAAGTGCATTTAAGTTGCATATATAGAAACTATTAAATATCAAATAAAATTTAAAAAAAAAGAAAACATATATTGTTCTCGAAAAATTTGTAAAGAGCTTTTGGCCAAACCAAAACCGACACAAGGAGCGTTAACAGCCAAGTATGATGTTACTCAAACAACGTCTTTAAAATAAGGTTAGTTGCTTTAGATCCAGAAACAACAAACTTAAATAAACAAAGAAATTCCTGAAATTGAAATATGGGGTTATTATTTGGTTCTCATATGCTGTGTAAGGAACTTTACAGTAACCAATGATATTTTTAAAAAAGGGCATTAGATTTTAGGATTTGCTTCAAATCGAACAATTGATGAACGAACAAAACGAATAATTCGAATTAATAACAAGATTGAGTTGTATTACGAATATGAATTTGTATTATGAGAATAAAGATTTTTTAATTCTTCACAAATATCTGAGTAAATTTATAGTGCTGCGAGTAGAAAATTTGAAAGCCTACGTCACGAGTAAAATGTTTAAATGTAGCAAATAAGATCTATATACCTGATAAAAATAACGATTTAATTTATTAGATTTCGAGTATATATATGCATGATTTTTAAAATTAATTCATAGGTTTAGAGTTATTGCATCGTAAAACAATAAAGTAATAATTTACAAACTAGTTTTAATAATTTTTTTTTTTAAAAAATTGTTATGAACACTCACTGAAAAGTTATTACCAGTAAAAAGCTCCACATGGATATTTACAAAATTTTACCCAAGTCCAATAGTTAATTGTAAAAGTATGTTGCTCGAGAACTCTTTATTTATTCTTGATAGAATTGCTTCACATCCTTGTCGTAAAGGAAAATGATATTCAATCAACTAAAGCAACATCATATTGCTGTCTCCGAATTTGAAGACAATGTATACTTAAAATTTTATGGTAAATACAAGAGTTCACCTATCTGTGATCTTACAAAAGGCAATTAAATGCTTGCGCAATATTTCTGGTTGTGTATATTATGTATGTTATCCATTTTCTCGATTCGTATTTTATTCTAGGATCAGCAAAATCACACAGCACAAACAGATAATGATGAAGATATTGAAAAGGCAGCAGCAGCAGAATATAAGAGCCATACCTCAGAACATGCATATATAAACAAAGAGAAGACAAAGTTGATTTGACGGGCATAACTTCAAAATTCAATATTATAGCTATCATTTTGAAAAAGACTTCCTTAATTATGTAATCACAAAGATTCACTTTTATTCGTGATTTTTCTTTCTTCGTGGAAAACTTTATAGGAATTTTTTCTTTCCTTAAATAATCACGGGTATTATTTATTTTGAAAGCATGAAAGGAACTTTTCTCACCTTAAAACACATCTAATAATGTTGTAGTTCTATTTCATATTTGTCCTATATATAATTTAGGTAAAATATGCAATAAAAGGCATCAAACATTACGGCTGTTGATATTATAATCACATTACATTAGTGACGTGAGTTTAACAAAATTTCACTTTGAAATTATTTTTTGCAAAAATAAAGTTACACCAACGTGATTTATATCTGAATTTTTTTTTTTTTTCTGCATATATTTATAATAATATATAATAAAAATGCCAATTTCAAAAAGAAGAAAAGAAAGTAAATATATTTAAATAAATAAATATATATATATATTGATAATAGTATTTTACTAATAAATGAAATTTAATTTAATAAATT